CAACAATAAGTTCTTACAGAGAATCGGTTGTTGGTGACGAGTTGCTCCGGCAATACTGAGATAGGAATGAATAACATGTTTTTAAAAGGACCTAATCAGAACTATAGGCAGAAAAATCAGCATTATTATCATTTAAGTGACAGAGCTAAGAGACTGCCTGAAAGCTACTCTGACAATGACAACCTGAGCTCTGTGGATAGCTTTAGCATTCATGATTCATATTTCTGAGTCACATCTGAAGGCAACATTTTTCAGAAACACCCACTGCACATGTTGCATTGGGAAAGCTAAATAAATGCTTTGTAGGATTTGGGCGATTCTAATGTAGCATTGATTAGAGGAGATTCCTTTAGTCTTGTGCTCTTCCTGCAAAGGTCTAGCACTTTAAAGTGTAGGGTATCACAGTTAGCAATATGAATGATTGTAATACTTAGAACAAAACTTTAGAACAGGTGTTGTTCTTACTGTATATTGTTTTAATCATATTTTATGTCACAATATCTCTTCACCAGATTTCCATGTTTTGCATCTCTGAATATTACTGATGCAAATGTTAATCTCTATGGATAAATGTATATAACTTGTGTAACATATAGCATTAGAAGATTACATCAACTAAAGCCTCCTTTGTGTAGAACATTTATGAGGACGTTTTTGGTTTGAAAAGGAGCTGATGCTGTGATGTTCCAGTCAAGCGTGTGTGCATAAGGATGTTGGCCACTCAGCAGCTCTCATCACTGAGAACTGAGGAGCTCCGACTACAAACTTTAATTTTAGCAACAACTTTATTGGAACTGCACTGTATACAGTCATTTATCAACTGTATCTAATCTGGTATGTTGTGACTAAAGTTAAATTGGGTGGAATACTCCCAGGACGCGCTTGAGGGACTATTGTCTCTCAGCTGGCCAGGGCAAGCATCATGGTTATCCCTAATGTGCTGGAGGATAAGAAGGTGAATGTGGAGAGGAATAAGTCTGGCATCTTTTCTTAGACTGCTGTCCCTGTGACCTGCCAACGGATGAAGTGAATGGAAGGATGGATCTTCAGATAAATGTTATAAATTGTAATAATGTTAATTGATTATTTTATTCATGCTATTTTTTTATCCTTCAATGCTACTGGTGAAATGTTTTATATGCAGAGGATGAGAACAGGGACCTATTTCTAGATGTTGAGTTTGGTCAGGTCTTCAGCACAAGTTTATGGGGCAAACTTACATAAACCCAGGAGGTTTATACATGAGATACCACACCAAAATATTTGTCTGAGACTTGTACAGGAGTGGCGCTGGTGATATAGGCTACAATAATTCACACTGTTTAGGTAGATGTGTTGTTTACAAGTAGTTCCTGTACTTTCTGGACTATTAAGCATACGTGTATATAAGCCGCATCAGCAATATTTTAAAATACATGCACATTTTCAATTTTGTCCACATATAGGCCGCACCTGAACATAAGCTGTGGGATTTAATGTAGCAGATAGATGACTGTTTTAACTGGTCAAATTATTTTAGTTGTTTAACAGTTTAATAATTAGCTTCCATAATGGTACACTAGTGATCTAGTGTACCATTATGGAAGCTAATGGATGGAGTCCAAAAAAATTATCCAAAGTTCATAAACTCTGTTCTGACAACAGCCCAACTCTATCACAATAAAAATACAAATATTAGCTGCATTGCTATAAAAGCTGCCGGATTCAAAGAACTAAGAAATAAGTAGCAGCTTTTTGTCCAGCAATCACAGTATTTTTATCTTTGGGATAGTGTTTAATTCCTGAAGTTATCTGCAACTTCAAGACATAAAGCTTTGGTTTGTAGTATACCGCATAGAACTTGCATAGACGTTACTTAAAACTGAGACAGATATAACACATGTATTATGCTTCAACTTACAAAGTTTGGAAAGGAATGAACTAACCCAACTTTCTAAAATTGTAGGAAAGGACTATTAGGCTATACATTGTGATCAATATACAACTATGTCTTTATCATCCTTATATAATGTGATACTGTCAGCCAGTGTCTGTGAGTAATAACTTTTCAATATTTACTATCTGGTCGTCTGCCTCTCACTGCCTGTTCCTCTGCCATAACTGACAAAGCCATCAAGCTGTACAAAGACTTGGATTTGCCCCATGGGGCATTGCAGCCACGTCATGTCTCTAGATTAAGTGGATTTTGTGTCATTTTTTGTATGCAACCCAATAATGTCAGTTATGGAAGCAGAAACTTGTTTTGGTTTGCCTGTTTTTCCTCTTAAACTTTAATTTTTTTATGTTCTTTTGATTAGCAAAGTTAGACAGACTTAGAATAGAATTAGATAGACTGTGTACAAGAAAACATAGCCATTCATAATTACATTTGTCACATTTTAAGCACAGAAAAAGGATATATCGAGTGAAAGTACACAGTTGGCGCAACGGAAGAAAAGACAATCGTATCAATAGGCATTTCTCTATATTTGATGGTCGATAAATTGCGTCTGAAATTACTGCGATAAACAATAATATGCCACTATTGCAAAAAAGAAAAAGCAGGATATTCCCAGTCAGGTTATTCTTCAACCCATCAAATTTGTGCGCTAAAAATAAATAATTATTATAGTCATATTTAACCATCTACAACTAAAATGTAATCGCTTTACAAAGGAAATGGCAACAATTTCTCCACTTTTGTAATGAAAACATGCAGACAATAAATACTGAGGCCCAAAGTACATAGCTTTATCCATACAATTTGGAACAATGAGTTGATATAGTAACATTGTGACCAGGCTACACAGGTTGAAATTAGTCAAATGAGCCAAAGGAACAGTCCCTTTATCATTGTGAAACCTCAAAAAACCTTGAATATATTGCCTCAAAGTCTTTGCCCCGTCAAAACACCAGTATCTCTTTTATTCCAGCCCTAGCATGACACACTGTCTCATGCCTTATTTACATACTGCTGCACCACTTTCTCGAGCTGACCTGCTTTTCATCTGTTCTTGCGTCTCCGAACTGAAGCAATGTCGGCTGCAGCAGGCTTAACACTGGAGCTGTGATCTGCTCTGGGGCCTGACTCTCACACAAAGCCTTTGGTTAGGCCTGCTCATGGCGCTCATGCATATGTCGCCCTCAGTGAGCAGAGTGGAGGAGGGAGACTGGGCTGACATGTAAAATGATCTGTTCACATCGTGTGGATTTCTCATAACCACACAATAACCTGGGAATTTTCTTATTGATGCAGTTGATACTTGAAATTGCTTACTAACCCATTCATTTCACTATAATGATATTGAGAAACAAATTCATAGAAATAATATATGTACAAAATGGATAACAACCAAACCATTACACCCCGTTTATTATCTTTATTGTATCAGTAATCATAATGTGTGTTTAATGGATAGACTAGTGCAACGGGCTACAAGTCCTTTTCTCTTACTGGTGTCGATTGTCTTATAATTTGATGAGGAATAATCTATTGTCTTATTTAAAGCTGGAGTGCCTATCTTTGGAAACCTAAAACATAACTATGTAATACAATGCATGTAACTAGTTCCTAGGACTGACTAGAACCAAAAGAGAGCTATCACTTGTTTTGACGTTCATGCTTTAAGAAAAAATGCTGTCACATCTTCAGATCAGCTTTTTCAGTGGAAATGAGAGCACCAGCTCTTGTATGGTCTGATTTGTTAATAAGAAGTGCTTAAACAAGAGTCTTTCTGTTGGCACAATATATTGATGAAACAAAACAGAAAATGAAACAAAAGATATTTCATATGTTGACACGTTTTCCAGGTCATTGTTTTCTGAGCATGTTTTGACTGCTCAAGGCTCAACTTTCTGAGTCAGGCAATGGTGAGGTCCTGTCCCATTACCATGCATTATGTATACACATATCTCTGGAGTCCTTTAAATGCAAGAGCCTCTTGAAATAGAAGTTACAGTCTTGTTGGGTCACAGCGACGCTTTTATGACGTAAATACAGTCCTCTACCTCAACATTCCATTTCTAACATTTGATTTGTTAAATGAAATGTTATTGTTTATATATGTGTTCTAAAACATATGTGAAATATACACTACTTTAGTTGTTTGAATACAGTAGATAATTATAACAAAACTATTTAATGTATCTAATATTGAAAAATCAATAATACAATTCCGTGACTTGCCTGTGGGACACACTGACCTACATACAGTGCCATCTTTGAAGAACAGGGTTTGTCTCCAGCAAGCAATGTTCACTGTCAATGCTAAAATATATTATTTGTGTCTCATTAACCAATTGGTTTCTTGTAATATGACATTATTGATGTAGAGTAGTGCTGTAAAGTCATTAGATTAAGCTCAAAGCTATAGTTTCTCCATAGACCTATGGATACAACATTCTTTGTCATGAGAATAAATGAAAAAAGGAACCCAAATGCACAACTGAAAAGTTGAAATAAAAAACCAGTTGAAAATAAAACCAAATCCAGGGTAACAATAAAACACAAGCCAAGCCAGGAACAAACGTGGGATAGACGATGGACATACAAACAAGTGGGGAACAGCGCAGGGTATAAATACACAGGGAGACACAGGGGAATCAGATTAGGGCGGGACAAACAATCGATGGAACAGGATGGAGAACTCAAAAAGGCAAAGACAAGAAATTATCTAACAAAACACATCAAAGTTCACAAAACAATCCACACCACTCTTGTCTTGTATTTTGCATTTTAATCTTGTGTATGTTGTTTTACATTAAAACTGAAAGATCATATTGTGATTATGTCATATTATACAACAATATGTTTGAATATTCATGCAAAAAAAATCAATGAGAAAACACAATGTAAAACCCTTTAGTTACACATGGCATTACAAACAGTACTGATACTACGCACCACAAGGATTAAACGTTAATCAAACAACCCACCTGGGCTGCATTTTGGCTATTGTTTGTAGAATAAGACAAAATACAACATTGTTTTATTCTATTTTGATATGTTTCTTTTCTTGCAGAAAGAATGGCTGTGTCTCAACTGTCAGACCCAGAGAGCCATGGCGGGTCAGCTGGGAGATGAGCCACCGCCAGTCATGGGATCTCCAAAGAAACAACCACCTCCTGCTCCCGTTGCCCCCACCTCTACCTCTACCTCCACCTCTACCACCCCCACTCCCGCTCCTGCTTCAGTAGAAACCAAACCTGTAGTGGAACCCTCTGCCCTGAACCCTGATGTAAAGGTAGAAGATCCCAACATTCCATTACATGACAATTCTGCCTCTCCTCCTGATGACTCACCTCACCAGACTAAGGAATATATCACAGGGAATACTCCAGAACTCCCAGCGCTAGTACAGACACAAAGCAGCTTAGACAGAGAGGAGGGTGGCCCTAAACCTGAGACAAACACTGAGCCGTGCGTTCCTGTCACCGTAGTAGCGCCACATCAGGAAGACAAAAACACACTCATTCAGCCTCCCTCAGAGGAAAGTGAGACGCTAAATCTATCGACCAAAACAGAAATAGACAACACAACAGCACTTCTTGAGACGCAGCCAAATCCTGAGATTAGTCAGAGTGAGGCTCCTGCAGATAAGCAGGAAGATGCGTCACCGACCGCAGACACACTTTTAGAGGAGACCACAAACTCAGGTGAAACAAAGATAGTAACCGATCCTGTAGTCGTCCCAGAAAATTGTGAAACTGGTGCAGATGTGTTATTAAAAGAGCAGGGAGAACCAAATGATGAGGATGCTCAGTCCAAACCAGTGGATCAGTCTCTAACCGAAACTATAGGTGACAATGTTGTAGGGACTGAAAGTGTTCAAGCTGAAATCACTGAAAAAGAATCTGATATAAAAACAGACACACGACACGCTTCTGTGGATCAACCTGTATCGGAAGTTGCCGTATTTATGGATACTGAACCAGGAAGGAATGCCATAACAAATGAAGTTAAACAGTGTGTTGAAAACAAAGAAGTTATAAGCACAACTGAACAACTACATACAACTGAAAGCACTACAGAGAAAGCAATCACTGAGGCAAAACCAGTGGAAGAAAATAGTGTGGAGGTGACACCTGCAGATAACAGTACCGCGGAGGGGGAAGTTGTTCAACAGGAAATTATAACAGCAAAAGACAGGGCTATCGCGAACCCTGAAAGCACAAATTTAGTTGAGCAGTGCATTGAAAACAAAGAAATTGTAAGCACAACCGAACAACTTCATACTGAAAGCACTACAGATGAAACAATCACTGAGGTGAAACCAATGGAAGAAAATATTGTGGAGGTGACGCCCGTAGATAACAGTACTACAGAAGGGGATGTTGGTCAACAGAAAGTTATATCCGTAAAAGACAGGGCTATCGAGAGCCCTGAAATCACTAATGAAGTTGAACAGTGCATTGAAAACAAAGAAATTGTAAGCACAACTGAACAACTTCCCATCAAAAGCCCTACAGAGGAATTAATTACTGAGGTAAACCCAGTTGAAGAAAATATTATGGGGGTAACAACTGCAAATGAAAGCACTGCAGAGGATGCAATGATCAAAGTGAAAGACAGTGCTATTGAGAGCCCTGAAGTTGTGGATAAATCACAAACATATGATGCAAAGGCTCAAGAGGAGGAGGTGGCGGAGAGGTCGACTGAGGTAAAGGCAGATGAGGGAGAGGAGAACAGACAGGAATATTTAGGACAGTCTGTGGGTGAGGAAGAAAGCACAAACATTTCTTTGATTCCAAGTGCAGAGGATTCAAACAAGAGTGTAGCTCAAGCAAGCACACATTTTGAGGAACATGCAGGCATATCCGAGAAAACGGGGTCATCTTATCTTATTGAGCAAAATGACACAAATGCTCCAGAGCCCTTGCCAAGTGAAGATAACATACAAGTTTCATCTGTCGCTTCAAAAGATGTAACATGTGAAACTTCACTGGAGCAGCCGAGTCAGAGTATAGCAAATGTTCCTGCAGAAAGTCAACAAGACGATAACTATGATGCTTTGGTTTTGACAAGACTTAATGAGAAACCTGTTGAGGAGGTTGCTGAGCAGAAAGTGTCAGTCACAGAAAAAGAGAAAAGAAATTGCACAAATGTTGTTGAGTCACAACCCGTCGCAGAAAATATAGAGATATCTATTTCAGACCCAGACTCAGCAGGAGTGGTAAAAGATGTCACTCCCGCGCGTCAAATCGAGCTCAGCATCCCATCACACAATGAACAAACTCAAACTGTGTTTCAGCTAGATTCTACACCTCTAGAAAAAGCTGATATCCCAGAATCTGTAGTGTGTAGTTCTCTGGACAAAAGTGACCAGGTGGAGATAACAGAAGAGCCCTTAGTCAAGCCTGTTAAAGAAGACGCTGAGGTGACTGAAAGATGCTGTAGCATGTAGCACAATTCACATATAGTCTAGTATAGTATGGTATAGTATGGTATTGTATTGTACAGTGTAGTGTTAGTGTTTAGTATTCAATAGTATAGTTTAGACAATACACAATTAGTGAGTTGCAAACACAATTATGTACTGTAAATTAAAAAAGAAGGTTCTGTTCAACAGAACTTGCTCTTGCCACACCGTGGCAAGAGCTCTGGTGTGTGTTGTCTGGTGCACACTGGGGTATTCTTGCACAGTTTTTCCAATGTGGTTTTACTGCAAATGGCAAATAAATGAATCTGAATCTGAATCTGAGAATATATTTGGAATTATGTTGTGGCAATAAATAACATCACATTAAAGATGTCTTACGGATTAAAATAGTTGTACAAAGTTTGAAGATTTTAGCATTTCTGGAGCACAGACTTTTTAGAAAAAATAAATGTAAATACAAATTCACCTCACAAATCCAAGAATCACTTTCATACAATCTCTTACAAGAAATTCATGATTACATACATTAAATATGTTTTGTTTTTGCCTGTGGCAACATGTCAAATGATATCAAGTACATAGTGATTAATCTACCATTGATATGAGTGTTTCTTTGAGTCCCTACCTAAAATATTACCTTAACAAAATACATTCTGTATTTGTAAAAACAAGAGATTTAGTTGCATGTGTCCTTCAAATAGTATATTATATTGACACTAATGTTCTTCTTTTTGCCCCCTTATTCTTACACAGGTGAAAACTACAGAGCAAGCTCCTACAGAAAAAGCACCTGAGACAACAGGCAGTCCCACGGGCCTATCTGACCTGACCAAACTGGAGAACACAGTCCTCCCCATTCTCGAGGCAAAACCAAAACCAGAAGAGGATACTTTGGTAGACACTCCAAAAACAAGACGCAAACTAGAGGTTTTACCTATTATGCCTGACTCACCAAGTTCAGAAGAGGAACGAGAAACACTAGAGCAAAATGTCAAAGAAAAAAAGAAGCTCTTGGTGCCCATGGATATCAGGGGTGACTCCTTGGAAGACAGCAGTGAGAGCATTGGAAAGGAAAGCCCCATGTCTGGAGATGACGAAGATTTCCTCAGGAAACAAATAATTGAAATGAGTGAGAATGAAGATGCTTCTCCGACAGATGAGGAAAACGTGATAAGACAAAAGATCAAAGAGCAAGAGAAGAACACTGCAAGTGTTGAAAAAAGTGCTTCAGGGAGAGGCAGACGTCTTACTAAAAAGGCAACTATAAGCCCTGACGAAGATGAGGATAAGCATTTAGAGGAGGCTGCGGCTAAGGTAGTGCAAGAGGGCAAAGAATCTAAACCAGATGATAGTGGCCCAGCAGTTCGCCAATTTCAAACAATGGAGCTTAATGCGCCAAGTATGAAAATAGCTACAAGTGAAGGGGAGGTAGAGATGGAGTGCCTCACAGACTCACCAGATGACAGGTCAAAAGGGGAGGGGTCATCCAGCCTCCATGCATCCAGTTTCACCCCAGGCACATCTCCAACATCTATGTCCTCATTTGACGAAGACAGTGACAGCAGTAGTCCTAGTAATATGTCTACTGGGGAAGGAAAGCAACAGAGGAAGGCTAAGCACCGACAACCAGGACAGTTGCCAACTATTGAAGACTCCTCTGAGGAAGAAGAACTGCGTGAGGAAGAGGAGTTACTCAGGGAGCAGGAAAAGCAAAAAAGCTCAGGGAAAAAATCCAAAAGAGACAAAGAGGATAAAAGTCAGAGAAGACGAGAGCGGTCAAAAACACCGCCAAGCAACCTTTCTCCTATTGAGGATGCATCGCCAACTGAGGAGCTTCGTCAGGAGGCTGAAATGGAAGAGATGAGGCGATCCTCGTGTTCTGATTTCTCCCCCAGTCTTGAGTCTGATCCTGAGGGCTTTGAAATTCATGCCTCAAAGATTGCCGCTTTTCAAAAGTCATATAAACTCCCAGTATCGTCCGACTCTTTAAGTGAAGATAAAACAAAAAAACCACTAAAAACTGCAGATGAGACCTATGAAGAAATCATGTTGAGGGCTAAGTCTCCGACAACTGAAAAAGTTGACAACCAGCCAGAGAAAGAAGCACTTTATGGGGGGATGCTAATTGAAGATTATGCCTACACCTCCCTTATTGACAATTCAACAAATGAGAAAGAAGAACCAGAAAGAATGGCTCTTCCAACTCAACCCAAAAAGTTGAGATCTCCAGATGAAGTCTATGAGGACATGTTAAAGAAACGTAAAGAATTCCAGAAGCTTGAGGAAGAGTATCAGAAAATGCAACCAAAACAAGAACCAGGTCCTACACCAGAGATTGTATTGCAACCTGCTGAGAATATTAACAATCCTCCAACCATAACAACAGACACAGACGGAAAACCATTGTTGGATGCTGATACAGCCTATGAAGAATTGATGAGAAAAGTGTTAACTCCAACAAGTCCGAGCCAACAAGACCAGGACGTGGAGACTACTCCTGCTAAAAGAGCTCTTTACCCCATCCCAGATCTAAAAGTGACCCAATGTTCCTCGGGAGAGCTGTCTTCAGATGAGGAGTTTTATAAGAAAGAGGAAGAACCAGAAACACCCGAACCTCCACCAGTCAGGGAGTCAAGCAAAGTTTCTCCCTCTGAACCATCTGACGTCATAGTTACAACATCTGGGGCTGCAGTAGATTTATCTGGACTTTCAAAAGCCACTCCTTTGATGTGTAGTGTGACTCCTTTACCCACCGTTCCCCAATACACTCCTGGTATTCAGAGTGTAGTGACAACGGCCCCACCTGTGCCCCCCAAACCATATATTATGCGGAGGGCTAATTCTCAGGACAGTGCTGATATGGCTGTTGCTCCTCCCCCAACCACAGCAAAACCCACTGTGTTTCCAAGAAAAGCACCAGTTCCCCTGCCACATCAGGCATCAACAACTCCAGTAAAGCCAGAAGATCCCATCTCAATGACAGCTGTTCATGGTTCGCCGATAAGACACCCAACAGGTATACCAACATACAGGGCTCATGTACCTCCACCAGTCCCTCCTAAACCATGCATACCTTGTGGGATGAGTGAAGGACCAAGAGCAGCCCATGGCGTCAAACCACCAATTGCACCAAAACCAGCTTCACAACCAACTTCGCCAGCACATGTCCCCCATCCACCAAGACCGACAATGCTGCCCACTGGTTCTGCTGAAATAGCTCTCAATCTGAGCCCCACCTCAGAGCATAAGCAATTTCAGTCATCTCCAAAGTCTCCTCCATCTCCAAGATATGCTAGTAATCTTCGTGACACTTATGTAGTTATAACACTCCCATCTCAGCCCAGCTCTCCAGTAGAACCCATCATGACCCAGGCCCCTTTCAGTCCTGCTCCAGCATCTCCATCGCAAGCACCACCTCATAGTTACACTCAACCACAAGCACATCAGCAGACCTATCCACCGCAACAAGTTCCACCTCAACCACAAAGAGTACCCCTGGCTTACACGCGTGTTACTGAGTCAATAGAAAATCAAGAGATCTGCAGCCCAGAAAAACATGTATCAAGTTCATGTCGTATAATAGAGGCAATATCAGCTTCAGCTCAGCCCCCTGTGGTGACTCCAAATCTCATCTCTCAAGTTGTTACCACAGAAGTCCAAAGAACCACTGTTTCAGTTGTTCACGAAAGAACCCCACCACCAGTGCCAGCTCCAAGAGCTAATGGTGTCCCCCTAGATAAGACAAAGCAACAAAATCCACCCCCGACAACTCAGGCTGTCCAACCTTGTGAAGTTGTGGATCTTAGAACAATGAAAGTAGATCAACAATCAACCATGAATGGTGTCGACTTGTCTGCTGGCCCAGACCCAAGGCGCCAGTCTTATGTAACTGATGCCAGTCGTCAAACCAGTGCAGTACAATCTCCCGTCGTCAACCTCAGCGCAGAATCCTCCACGGTTTCCATAGTGACCGACAGCATCACTATTGTCACTTGTGCGGCCACCATTCAAAGATGGGATAATGCAGATGCCACAACAACTTCATCAGTGCCCCTAAAACTGACAAAGAACAAATCATTTGAACCTCTTTCTCAAATTGTCTATCGACCAGTTGATGCACAGACCCTTGTTCAAGCAGGTACAGAAATTCCAATAAATTTGTCTGTAGGGTCGGGAGCAGGGACGTATCAGAGTGGTCCGATAACTACAGCACCCCCCTGTGCTTTTGCAGCCAATGGCCTGACCACTGGTACAGCAACGGTGGCTGGTGCTGTTGATCTCAGCACAACTAAACCCTTCAACACATTGGTTTTAATGGATGGAGCCTCCTCCGAAGCGGTCACTGCAGTTATTACAGATGACGATGGCAAACCAGTGGATTTAACTGGAGGGAAACGAGCGGTGTGCTGTGATGTTGTATATAACCTTCCATTTGCAGGAAGTTGCACAAGGCAGCAACCCACCACTCCTCTGCCTGAAGATCGCTTTGGATATCGAGATGACCATTACCAGTATGACAGAACGCCATATGGAATGAGAGGGTTTGGTGGAATTAAACCGTCAATGTCAGACACCAATTTAGCAGAAGCTGGTCTCTTCTTTTACAAGAGTAAGAATAGTTACAACTTCAATGGCACCACAGATGGTGCAGTAGATCTTACATCAGCCAAAATCTCTGATGCAGGTCAGTGGAATGATATTACAGATCTCTCTCTTAAATGTAATTTCGAACTGCTGCCACTCATCTATGGCTAAAATGGCTTTTTGCATGGACAAATCTTTTTTTGCATTATATTTTGCATGTGTGACCTGCATGCTATTGCCTTCATCTTTTAGTATTTTTTTCTGAACTCATCTTTATAATTTTGTTATTTTTTATTTATGGCATGGTTTTCACAAATATAAAAAGGAAAGTCAGAGTTATGTTCAACTGATATTTTTGGCTTTCAACAGGTGAAGCTGTTGACTACTCCAAAAAAGGAATGTATGCTGGCATGGCAATACCACCATTTTCTGATGCAAGGGTAACAAGTGCTGTTGGTACAGTTCTTGGGACAACTAATGTTCTGAGATCATCCAACGGAATTGTCTATTCCTCTGTGGGATCCCCTAATCCTTCCACATATGCCATCACTACTCAGCCAGGGTCCATATTTAGCACTACGTACAACAATCAGTCTGGTATGCATACAAGTGACACTATGCCTTCACTCTCAAACCTTCAAAACATACCACTAACAAGATCACACAGTTTCATCTCTACTATTTCGGCAAAAGAGGCAGAAGTCCCACTTAATCTAGAGCTTTGCAGAACAGGTACCACAGGCATGGACAGCATAACCCCAGCATCACTCACCTTGGACACTTATACTGATGCATCCCTTGAAGCCATTGCTGCCTCTCTTGAAGCATTGTCCTCCCCAATGGTAGCAGGAGATGGTCAGTATCTGGCAGAACGCGAGCGACTTGAGATGGAGAAGCTCAAACAACAGTGTTTGGCTGATGAACTAGAAAAGGAGCGTCAAGAGATTCAGCGTTTTCGGGAACATGAGCAGGTTTTGGTTCAGAAAGAACTGGAGGAATTACAGGCCATGAAGCAGCAAATTTTGGATCAACAGGAGGAGGAACGACAGGCTCACCTGCTAATGCAAAAAGAGACATATGCCCAACAACAACAGCAACTAGAACAAATTCAGAGGCTTCAAGAGCAGCTTCGTCTGCAGTTGGAAGAACAAAAGCTGAGGCAGTTGTTTCCAGGTGTACAAGAGGCAGTTGTCCTGGGACCAGATGGCACAGTGCTAGCTCGTAAAATTACAGACAGTGGATGTCAAACAGATGAAGAGGATGAGACAATAAGCAATGCGTACACAGCCGGAAGAAAGAAGAAAAATGCAAAAAAGAGTGTGGATAGCTGTGTGCAAACAGATGATGAGGATCAAGAAGATTGGGAGGAGAACAGAAACCGGCGACCACGCACTGCCAGAGGAGATAGGAGTGCACAGTCAGAGGTATCTCTCCAAGCCCACACTGAAATTTCTATACAAACTGATACAGAGGGCAATATTAGAATGGAATCCAGATTGGAATTGTCCGACTCTGACTCACCAAAGAAACGCCTCTCTCCTTTACAATTAGGCCAATCTGGTAGCCTCAAAAGTGATTCTTTAACTCTGCAAGCACCTAAATCCCCCAGAGTGCTGTATTCCCCCCTATCCCCTGGTGTATCCCCTAGTAAATCTCTTGAGTTTGTATCCTATGAGAAATCCCTGGGTGGTACAAGCCCCCAAAAACTAAGTCCAAGGGGAAAAGCCATGCAGAGGTCGTTGTCTGATCCTAAGCCCATGAGTCCAACAGCAGAGGAGAGGGCAACATCTGGTCCCCAGTATGGCCCTGTGAGTAATGAAACTACCCCCTTTAAATCTGCAATGCTTTTCCTGAACAGAGGACTTCTTTTCTTTCTATAAACCTATAATTTGAATAATTAAAAATATCAACATACAAAATGTACATATGTATATATATATACAGTATATATATGTATAATGTATGTATATGTATAATGTACATATGTATATATATATATATATATATATATATATATATATATATATATATATACAGTATATATATATATAGTATATATATATATATATATATATGATATTTACAAACTTTTTGAAGAGAAAATAAAACAAGAAAGAAGTCATCTAATACCCTTTTTCTAATACTAACTTTCTAGTACTAATACCCATTGACGAGCGGTTGGGTTTATGGTTGGTGAGGCACTACCTTCATCACATCAGATTTACCTCCATATCAACATGACCTACAGAGCTGCTTATTCGCCATTTGTTTGGCGCCCCTGGAATATCTTTCAGGCCAGAATTATTTACACATACAAAACACAAATCCATGTTATAAGCACATTGAGAAATGTTTTAGGGTCTTACCTCGTAAATGAAGTTCATACGCTACTTCAGTTCAGACCAGTTTCCTTTTAAAGTCCAGATGATAGTTTAAGGTTAGATATGCGATCCTCTATTTGAAATAAACAACACATTTTTTATCTCCTTTATTGCCTCACCTTCCTCCCCAGAATGCACGTCACTGTCAATACCTGATCAAACAATCTTAACAATACTAATCCTTTCAAAATGTTTAAAAACCCCTACCTCCTCTTTTTATGGACTTTACTTTCTGTTTCTGGTTATTTCCATTCTAATTCTATAAATTATGTTCAATTTCCCTAAATATATTATAATATCAAATGTCTAATTTTCGTTTATTTTTCAGCAGAGTAAACCCAGCACACCCACAGGTACTCAGAAGAAGGTGAAGAGGACACTGCCAAACCCTCCCTCAGAGGAGGAGTCCACCACGGCCACTGCTACCACAACCACTGGACAGACAGCTTACAGCACTAACTCAGCGAGAAGAAGAATGTGCCGTAACTCAAATATGGCACGGGCTAAAATTCTCCAAGATATTGACCGGGAATTAGACATGGTAGAACGCGAATCTTCTAAGCTTCGCAAACGCCAAGCTGAGTTAGATGAGGAGGAGAAAGAGATTGATGCAAAGCTTAGGTACCTCGAAATGGGCATCAACAGAAGAAAAGATGCATTATTGAAAGAAAGGGATAAGAGGGAGAGGGCATATTTGCAAAGTGTTGCTGATGACCGCGACTACATGTCAGACAGCGAAGTTAGCCACATACGCGAGACTAGAAGTGTTATTGGTGCAGTCGAGGATGAAGACATTGAAGTTCATGGTTTAGAACGACCCAGAACTGCCCCTCAGTCTGAGCTTGATGATTTTGGTAGCTCTCAAACAAAAGGTGAATATGACAAATACTCCCAATATCCATATTCACAAAGCCAATACCAGTCCCTTTATCAGACACCTCAGTCATACCAGTCCCCTTCTATATACTCCTCTGTGCCATCGCTAACTAGCTCCCAACAGCAGAGCTACCATCAAATGCTGCTTCTCCAACAGAAAGCTGCTCGGCAGGCCGCCCTCCTCTCTGAACTTGATGCCACTAAATACGATGTCATTAGTCGCCAGCCTGATCCCACCTCATCAGCTTACCTAGGGGTTAAATACGACAAATATGGAAATCATCTTGACCTCAGAGCCCTCGATGTGGGGAGCATTGCAAACACACCCATGTCAGCTGTGTCCGATTCCTACTACTCAGATGTGGATCACCATACACCTCGTAGTTACATGCTGTTGGAAGATGCTGCTGAAATAGCTAAAGGGTCAACTGGTTTGTCTTCATCGTATAGTTTGGCAGAGAGAGAACTTGCTAAAGCTGAAAAGTTGCTGAGAAGGAGTGCTGCCGATTTGGGATCTACAGATTACTTGGGTTCAACCTCCAGGTTACATACATATGGTAAAACCCCTGATGAGGAAGATACAATGGAGGAGCCATATGAGCTAAAACTTCTTAAACAGCAGCTAAAACAGGAGTTTAGAAGAAGTACAGGAGGAACTGAAAGCCTTGAACAGTTATCTGGGCAGCATTATTACACTCCTACCACTGGTCTATCTAGTTACTCCCAACGACAATATCCCAAAACCGATAAGTATAGCATTAGCAGGCTAACTCTAGAGAAGCAAGCAGCAAAACAGCTCCCAGCTCCTATGTTGTACCAAAAACATAAGACACCCGTTATTGAGCCTAAGGTATCCTCAAAATATTCTTCCGTAGGTGACAGAGGGTTAGAGTCTGAGTATACCAGTTATATAGGCTCCAGTGGGTCCCCAAGAACCAGCCGACTTATGCAGGATGAGATAACATTTGGTCTTAGAAAGAATATAGCTGAGCAGCAGAAATATTTGGGGTCGAACCTGGGGGCCAATCTTGCAGGATCTTTAAACCTAGGTCAGAGCTTAGGTTTGGACTCTGCCTATCCCTCTGGGAGCCGATCTAGACCCCCATCTAGACCCACATCTTGCTATGGGCTTGACCTATCCATCAAAAGGGACCCGTCCAGCTCTTCCCTGAGACTCAAGGGGGACGGCGAATCAGGCGATGGTTCAAGTTATCAGACACCATCTGGCCGCACCAAACCCACCAGCCTTCCCATAGTGCAGAGTGGACGTGGAAGGATACCAATAGTAGCGCAGAATTCTGAAGAGGAAAGTCCTCTTAGCCCTGTTGGACAGCCAATGGGGATGGCCCGTGCATCCGCTGGACCCCTCCCACCCATCTCAGCAGACTCCAGGGATCAGTTTGGGTCGTGTCTGTCCTTACAAGACCCTCAGCAGCAACAGCAGTACATCAGGGAGGAGCCGACCAGGGGAAGGGGCTCAGTACTACTAGATGATCTTCAGGGCACCATGTCAGATAGTGAAGGTAAAATTATTAAATTTTTTGCATGCAACAATTTCCAGTGGCTCATTCATTTCAATCTGTCATTTAATACGTTCAAGCTGGGGTACCTAACCTTCAAACAACAAAAAAGGCAACTATGTAATAAAATGCATCTAATTATCTCTCATAACATTTTGGTTCCACTACTAGTTTCCATATGCATACATTTTTGGCCTCTGTCACTCTTGGCCTAACCCTTTTTCAGACAGAATAGAGAAAAGAGAGGACCACTCTCTCTTAAGCCATCAGCTCTCAACCCAAAAAGACTAATAATGATGCTCAGAGCTCTTTGTGCGCAAAATGTAACATGTTTTCTAATAGGATGAAGAGATCATGTTGTTCTGATTATGTTCAAAAGATCTTACTTTTACAAGATTCTTCCTGTTGGGACAAACAACTGAGTTAGGTATCCCAGCTTTGAGTTTGTATTCCTATTGTCTATTATGTGATTTAAGTTGACTTGTGTGTGTTCAAAGTCTTGCATGGTTGTTAAATTATGTGTGTTTGTTTGTACTTTGGTTTTACTTTCAGTATTGAATAGCTTTAATCATTAATATTTATTTTTCTATTTAGTGAGTGCATTTAAAGTCTGTTTAAAAATCTTATATTACTGATTGACAGGATCTGTGCAGTGTTTCAAAAGTGATTAGAAAGTCTCAGTAATTAATCCAATTGAAGTGCCTCTCGCCAAAAAATACATTTAGAATTTTGATAATGTTCGAGCAATAATACATGTTCCTGAGATAATAAATACTGTAAACATTTCTAGATATTTAAATTAGCTGCAAAAAACTTTCTGTGTGTGTAATAAATGTAATATTTTCCCACTTGTGCATGTTGTGTTTCATATTCATTGCCTTCTTGATTTTCTTCTTTATCATTTTTCACTTCTAGCATTTTTCTATTTACAGTTGTGTTATTTCTTGGTGATAGTACTAATTCTGTTTCTAGAGCTCATACGACATAAGCGAGTTACAGTGACCTTGGCTTTGGATAAAAAATGTATCTTGACAATTACAGCATTATATTTGTTTGTGTTATTGGATATGTGTCCATGTAGTGGTATTAAGTATTGAGACGTCATTCATAAATAAAATTACATTTATTTAAATTATTCAATAATGTTCCTTGATTTCAGCCTTAAATGAACACCCAATGACTGCAAGCAGTGGCGACGCTACCCATGGTAGGGTATTGGTTATTCTGTAGGTTAGCGATAACTAACACATTACCTGAAAGCCTTTTTCTAACTGGGTCGAGAATTATATTAGTATTGGGATATTCTAAAGAGTTTACCAATTCTGGCATGAGAGACCCGCATGTTTAAGATTACATTGTGTAGGAGACATTAACATTTTTACTTATACCTACTACTAAAAATATTTACTAACAACACTGTACAAACACATTGTTATATATTTCCTTCTCTGCCTAAATTCAAATTGGTCACTCATATCAACATCATTGTCATTAGAAGATAAAAAAGGTGCGTGTTTTTCTCCCCAAAGCTTATCACCTTCGACATGAAGAAACTGACTGGTTTGAAAAACCTCGGGATGGGCGAGCGGATGGATTGAACAAGAGACAGGTGAGGCTTTGAGCACTTGTGCATGTAGGACAGCTGTAAGTGCGTACACTGCACACAAAGGTCAGCATGTGCCTTTTTGTGATTTATGTCACTTTATTTACGTATGCTTAACCCAATGCTTCTGCCTGTTGTGTATGCACCACAGGGGAAAGGTCCCTATTACCCCTTCCCTCACCTCAGGGTTAAACTTCAGAGAGATCCCAAGGATCGCACTGTCTCAGGTAATACAGGGGCAGTGCAAAGGACTGGATGTTATGTATATGAACCATGTTAAAGATCATAATTGCAATACTGAATCCTCTCTTGATTGGGTGGTTATAAAAAAAAACTTTTCTGCCATTACAATGACAGTTGTTTCATATATGGTGGATTTCATTTTTATTTTAAACCCTCTTAATCATTGTTCTTTCAAGGAAATGGTCTTGGTATTCGTATAGTTGGAGGTAAAGAAGTTCCTAATAGTAATGGAGACATTGGAGCATATGTTGCAAAAGTCTTACCTGGTGGAGCAGCCGAGCAAACTGGAAAAATCCTGGAAGGTAAAAAAAAATACATTTGTTTTCCAGATGCACTGTAATGAAATTAAATATAAATCTTAATCTGCACTGAGGAAGCATAACCCTATCGATACAACAGAGATTAGAGGAGTTAATGATTTTTCATTAGATTGTCGGGAAGATGCCTGTTCCCAAAAATAGTATGCAATCTGACACGTTTTTTGTCACTGTAAAAAGTTGAAGCTATACCCAAAGGGGATTTTTGTGGAAATACGATTCACAAGAAGTCTCTCTCAAGGATAGAAATAGCTTTCCTTTCCTCGCAGAGATCATTCATGATTAGACATCAGTTTCCACTTTGATCTCAAAATCAATAAATGCTATTCAAAGAAGGATTTTTGATTTATTTGTTTGATAATTTATGTTTTAAGACTTAGACATCTGTAGTGTTGATCGCTGCAAGGACGTACGAGCCATGGCAACAGCTTGTCATTAACACTGAACAGAGCACACTGTACGATGCCCTGTTGTGTGAAGGAGACATGACGACTCTCACACTCAATTCCATTCCATTCCATATACAGCCTAGTTTTGAGGTGATTGTCATCACTGATATGTTTTTTTTTTTTTAAACAAACATTCCCTGTACATCTTCAGTTGGACAGTATCGCCACAAACACAGAAACTTACTCATGAGCTGCTTCAAACCATGTGAGTGGTGCCTTTTGCAGAGTGTGACTCATGAGTATATTGAGTTTGCTGTGTTTCTGTGTGTCTGTTTTTCGTATTTTCCACTATCTGTTTCAAATGCATTTTGATCTACCTTCAAGTTGATGGAGCCATACGTTTAATTTGTCTCTTCCTTACTGTTGACAATACTTATCTGGATTGGTTTGCGACCTGTAAAAGCAAACACTTAAAGTCTGACCCTGTATACTGTCAATTATTGCATTCACATTTATCAATGTCATTTGTCAGGAATGCAAGTCCTGGAGTGGAATGGTTTGTTCCTCACAGGAAAAACCTATGAAGAAGTGCAAGGGCTCGTTGGTCAGCCATGTAATGAGGCAGAAATGTGTGTCAGACTGTGAGTAAAAACCCTTTACCCATGTATATTGACATATTAATACCACTGGCTTTTGTATTAAAACAAGTTCACTTTGCAGAGATCTTAATATGCTTGCTGAGTCAGAGATGTCACAGAACTTGGATTTTCAAGAGCACAGTAAAAGTAGGTTGAGAATTATATTATATATTATTATCTATATATTATTATATATATAGAAGTAATTGATATTTCAAATATTCTATCAGAAGGTAACTTACATATACTAGGACTTACTGAGACTCATCTGGATTCTACATTTGAAGACTCCTCATTAAATATACAAGGATACAGCATATATAGGAAAGACAGAAATGCAAGGGGTGGCGGAGTGGCTATCTATATACAGGAGCAAATACCAGTAAAAATAAGAATTGATCTAACGCTACCCAATATTGAAGCATTATGGCTCCAAGTTCATATTCCATATTTAAAGCCATTACTGGTTTGTTGTTGTTACCGTCCACCCAATGCAAATTCTGCTTACTTGGAGGATCTATGTACCATGATAGACAATGTATGTGACTGTCAAAATGAAGTCTATATTGTGGGAGACTTCAATATAGACTGGAATTCACTGCAATGTTCTTTGAGGGACAAACTCCAATCCATTACTGAGGCATGTGGTCTAACACAGCTTGTGACCCAACCAACTCGGATATGCTGTAGAACCGATGGAACAAAAACATCTACCTTGATTGACCATATCTTCACTAACGCTGGTGACCTCTGCACCACAGCTATATCCATCCCAGTAGGCTGTAGTGATCATAACTTAATAGCAATGGTGAGGAAAACCAGAGTTCCAAAAGGAGGACCTAAAATAATTGTGAAAAGGTCATACAAACACTTTACTGAAGGTAGTTTTATTGAGGATGTCCGTAACATTTGTTGGGATGATGTATTGATGACTAATAATCTAGCTCATGCAGTAGAAGTCTTTAATAAGATGTTTTCACAAGTGAGTGATAAACATGCTCCTCTAAAAAAGAGAACAGTAAAAAAAGTAAGAGTGGGTTGGATTGATGCTGAACTTAAAGACTGCATGGTACAAAGAGATGAGGCTAAAAAAATGGCAATTCTCTCTAATTATGAATCAGATTGGCAGGTATACCGAAAACTGAGAAATTATGCAACTAAATTAAACAAAAAGAAAAGGAAATTGTATTATAAAAATCTGATCATAAATGAGAAACATGATAGCAAAAAATTATGGAGTATTCTAAATAATATTATGGGAAGAAATTCTAAAACGACTCCATCATTTCTTGAATTAGGGGGTTCTTTTATTACAAAGCCACTGGACATAGCCAATCACTTAAACAATTATTTCTGTAATAAAATTGATCAACTGAGAAGTGAGATGGGACAAACTGATAACTCAAAAGCAGAATATTTAATAAGGAACAATATTATGGCAGGAAAGAACTGCAAGTTTGAGTTTATTAATGTTACTGTTGGCCAAGTAGAAAAATTACTATTAGAATGTAAAGAAAAACCGTCTGGTGTTGATAATATTGATTCTAAATTATTGAAACTGTCTGCAAAGTTAGTTGCTGTTCCTATTGCTCATATTATAAATTTAAGTCTTAAGGAGGGGGTCTATCCACAGGCTTGGAAAATAGCAAAAATTGTGCCTTTACCAAAAAATGCTACTGTTCCTTTTTGTGGCCCTAACAGTAGGCCAATCAGTCTGTTACCTGCTCTGAGCAAAATTATGGAAAGAATTGTATTTGAACAAATACAAAAATATTTTTTTAATAACAATCTGAATATAGATTTCCAACATGCGTACAGAGCAGGTCACTCGACTGCGACTGCTATGGCTCAGATGACAAATGATTGGTTGATAGCACTAGACAACAAAAGGTTAGCAGGAGCTGTGTTGTTGGATTTCAGCTCAGCCTTTGATCTTATAGATCACAACCTTCTGTTGAGTAAAATGCAATGCTATGGGTTCAGTCCAGCAGCATCATTGTGGCTTAAGAATTATTTAGAAAACAGGAAACAAACTGTCTTTTTTAATGGAAGCTTCTCAGATATAAAAACAATTAGCTGTGGTATACCTCAAGGAAGCTGCTTAGGACCACTCCTGTTTTCTATATATACAAATGACTTGCCACTAGTGTTACAAAAGTCAAAAATAGCAATGTATGCCGATGACTCGACCATTTATTCATCACAAAGTACGGTTGAAGAACTTCAAATTGTTTTAAAGAAAGAATTAACATCAGTATTTGAGTGGGTCACAAATAACAAGCTAGTTCTAAATATTGGGAAAACAAAGAGTATTGTTTTTGGAACAAAACACATGCTGCGGGATGAACCCAAATTGAGTCTTGTTGTCAAAGATGTAACTGTTGAGCAGGTGCGACAGACCAAACTGCTTGGTATTGAAATTGACAATGAACTATCTTGGACTAAACATATTAATATGGTGGCCAGTAGAATGGGAAAGTGCCTCTCAATGGTGAAAAGATGTCGCCATATGTTATCTTTCAGTATGACTACAGATGTTATAAAAACACTTGTATTATCGCAGTTAGACTACTGCTCAGAGATTTGGTCTTGTGCTGCCGTAACAAATATAAAAGCTCTACAAACCGTCCAAAACAGAGCAGCTCGTTGTGCACTTCGGTGCTCACTCAGAACTAATGTAAACTGGATGCATAATACACTGTCTTGGCTCAAGGTAAAAGAGAGATTTACTGCTTCTTTAATGAACTTAATAAGAAATATAATTACAACTAACCTTCCAAATGTACTGTACAAAGAGTTAAATTTTAGTTCGGATGATCATAATTATGAAACCAGACATGCCACGGAGGGCAGATTTAAACTTCCCAAAGTCACAACCAACAATGGAAAAAGTACTGTAATGTATAGAGCCATGGCTGGTTGGAATTTTTTGCCAAGTGATATTGTTTATGCAAACAGTAAGTACCAATTTAAAGCCCTTTTGAAAAGGCATCTTCTCCTGTATTAATTTGATAAAACCTGTTGTGTGACCAATGGTGGTCTAATTAAGTAACCGGACCATTACGCTACTAATGCTGTCATTATATTCTCTCTTATGTATTCACTGATAAGCATATACTATGTCCTTGGTACATTTGAGTGTGTGTATGTGTGTGTGTGTGTGTGTGGTGGGTGGGGGTGGGGTGGGGGGGTAATATTATCACTCGGTGTTGAAAACTGGTGTAAATATTGTTTTGTGAACAGCATGCTGGATTGACTCCAGGAAGAATAGCTGTACTTATAACAGCTAATGGAGATCAAAATAAATACAAATACAAATTATCAACATGATCTTCCTCCTTCCTCGGGGGCTGTCTTTCATGGATGATCATTGTAGAACCTGCATGTATGTGCTGTCGGTGCCTGTTCATGACTTTTGGTGCGCGTGTGCTCAGGTGAGCGGCCTCCTCGCTCTCCGGGTGTTGACCCAATGCAGCTGGCAGCTGAGCTGCAAAAAGTGTCACAACAGCAGGCTCCTCTGCTTCCCACATCCTCCACATCCAGCCCTGCTCAGCCAGGATCTCCATCCATCAGCAAGAAGCGCCATGGCAGCAAGGCATGACTATTTGTATAACATGTAACAAATCAATTACCAAACAGACATTTTGACCATTGATGACATTTTTCTACAGAGTGCAGAAGGAGCAAAGATTCATTCACACCCCATATCTGGAGAGATACAAGTAAGTCATTAGAAACATTGTTGGTGTTTAAAATAGTGTATGGTTATGATATTTCTCAATTATTACCAGTATTTGTTTGCTTCAACAGTAAAGTCAATTGTTTGTATTGTCTCCTCTTTTAGCTTCAAATCCACTATGACAAACAGCTGGGAAACCTGATCGTTCATGTCCTTCAAGCCAGAAACCTTGCCCCAAGGGACAACAATGGCTACTCTGACCCATTTGTCAAAGTGTATCTTCTTCCAGGGAGAGGGTGAGTCAAGGGGATGGTCACTTTACACACTTGAGTGGTGTTGGGGATATAATGAAGGTGGTGATCGGGAAAAATATTTATTTTATCTTTTGCTTTTGTTGCTTTCCTTTATTTATAATATATGTCCCCCCTCCATTGTATTTTAATTTGCTTACTACATATTATTAAACAACAAAGATATGTTGCTATGATTATGTTTAGAAATATTGTTGTTTAACCTCTATACAATATTTTCTTAAAAAAGATAAAAACAAAAGGTCAATTGCATTACACGGCTTATGTGAACATATTGTATTTTCCATGCAGTGTATTTCTGTTTTTAAATTAGAGTTTTGAAAGCATGCTACATGTCACTTTCACAGCCTTTTTCAGTTTTACACAAATTCATTGGCAGATATTCCAACATAAAGGTGATGAAAAGAGCGGTACACTTTCCGATGATTGGACTGATCATAATGTCATTCTTTCATTATCGATTTCCATTCATTTATCAGCCCATCAAGGTGGCTTTATGATGTAGCTGTAAAAAGGCCTCGTCACACACGGTATGCAGAAACACACGTGCACAACACATTAGCAGCAACAATTATAACAACAAAACCTCCTCACGATATGAACTGTCCACAGTCCTCGAGCACTCATTTACCCCCCACTTCCGCTGACTATTGTTTCTGTATGTTGTTCTTTATATTTAATGCATGCTGGACCCTCTCAGTCAGGTCATGGTTGTCCAGAATGCCAGGTATGTGAATTGCCCAGTTAAACTATTATATTTTGATCCATTGGTTCTGTTGCAATGCCCTTGTCTCTTCTTGGATGTCAGCATTATGAAGGTAAAAAAGATACTAACCCAGATTGACTTTACTATAACAAATGACGACACCAAAAAATATTCTCCGCAACAATCTAAATGATGTTGTAAAAGTCAGTCAAACCCAACCCCCCCACCCCCACCCTCGCAGTAGTATTGTGTTGATAATCATTTGCATTCTTTTTTAATATACCTAACCCTAACTAGTTACATACTAGAACAACAACACCCTAACTCTAAAACCAAAACCTCTCATGTCTTAAATAAACTAATACTGAAACAAAATCACACTTAACACTCAGTTATATACATCCTTTATGTGACAGTACTGCAAAAAAACCTCCATTTCACTTTCTCTGCAACCAGGACATTCTATGCAGTATATGATTTATTTCCCATATGGACTTTTTTGCAGCACTTCCTGACATTGTAACCCACTGCCTGTAGGTCCATACATTGTTCCTGTGACATCATTCCTCCAACAATGTGCCTTAAAACATGCTCACTTCCCGATATGCCGTCAACCTCGTGTGCCCTGTGTATTGAGTGCATTGTTCTCACCTCATTCTGGTGGTCTGGTAAACTGCATGGCTAGAGCGCACGCATGATGCCTTTTTTTTTTACAATATGTCGTGTGTTATTGTGCTTTTTCCAGTGCCGAAAACAAGCGGAAGTCCAAGCACGCGGGCAGGAGTATCAACCCTGAGTGGAATCAGACTGTGATCTATAAGAATATCCATCTGGAACAGGTAGCGAAGTTCCGCCACAGCCATGCATTAACAAACTAAACACACACACACACACACACACACACACATGCTACACGCACATACAATGACATTAAATGAAAAACTTGACATGAAATCCAAATCCTTTAACGTTTCAGCAATGTAAGGGCATGTATACAGATGACAGGGTGCCAGGTGGGATTCAAACATGCCATACAAAAACCATCACAAAAACATTTTAAAAAGGCAAGGCAAATAACATGGTGTATATTGTCCAGAGCTCCAATTAATATGTATTTCATGTGACTACTACAGCATCTCTTGTGCAAGTATTTTTATCATGTCGGTTGAGTCACTAATTGTATATCCAAGCACTTCTACAGAACTTATGAACATATTTTTTTTTGTTCAAAGTTTGACGGGCAAAAGGTTGCTATGAAATGGCATATTTTTCTTTCTTTTTTATTCTTAAGGCTAGAGGCTAATGCTGAATTAGCAATCAAGACATTTTTAGATTCTTTTTTTTGCACCCTGACATATATTGATGGGAATAGGTTTTATTTTATAGCCAGTGTTTTCTTGTTTACATTTTTGTAATGAATTTACATTGTGAATATATTTTTAACAAATAATTGAATATTCTTTGGAAATGTTTTATGTGGTTTGATTAAAATAGTAGACTGATTTAGTTTTTTTTTCATCTGAGAAAATTAGCTTTAAAATTATGTATAACAATAACATGACATGAGGAGGATGTTTAAGCCATTAACTGATATTTCTAAAACCAAACATATTGGCCTTATTTATCGGTCAATCTGTAATTTTGACCCATTATTTCTTGTAACTCTGCTGCAGCTGAAAAAGAAAACCCTGGAGGTCAGTGTGTGGGACTATGACAAGTGCTCTTCAAATGATTTTCTCGGGGAGGTAAACTATTTTTTTACTTTTTTTTAACTCTTTCAAATTATCAAGTCATTTCTCCCTTAGCATCACAAATCCTTTCCCTCTTTAGGTCCTCATTGACCTGTCCAATACATCTCAGCTGGACAATGCTCCTCGATGGGTTCCACTGAAGGAGCAGAGCGAAGGCGACCACCACCGCAGATCCCACTCAGGGCAGAGTCGACACAGTTCTAAAACATCCTCACAGCATTCCTCGCCCAAAACCGGCTCAACTCATGACATCCACGATTCACCCAAATCTTCTGTCACCAAAAGTCGCAGTCATGGGGTCTTTCCAGATCCAGCAAAGGGTAGGAAAGGAAAACCTCCACTAACCTGCTTGACTTAACCAAATGCACCAAATCCCCTGTATGGCTCTTTTCAGTTGTATTTTTTATCTATAGTAACTTATAAGATTGCTTTGAAGAGAGCCATTACATAGGTCTAATTGTTCCTCACTAAATATCTTGCTCTGCTTCTGCACCCATTCTTTGCATCTATCGCATTAATCATGCTTTTTGCTTTCTCACGGTCTGTTTTCTTGGTTGTCATAATGCCACAAAATTCAAAGACCAACCATCTGTCCCTCTAATTAAATAATATAATAATAGTGAAAATGATTGGAGCATGACTGTTATATTATTAGAATATCTTGCCGTGGTTAAAGTGATGCAACCCTAACAATATGTTGCAGTAAAGTCATCCTAAAGTTGTAGATGAATAATAATTTGGTTAATCTGGTTGTTTTAGATACACAGGTGCCCTCTATTGAGAAATCTCACAGTAGCCCTGGCACAGCGAAGCCTTCCCAGTCTGAGGGCCACGGACAGGGCCAACACTCTCGCTCACACGCTGCTCATACCAAAAGCACCACGCGGCACCATCAGGACAGCGGCAGAGGAAGCACCATAGCTGCAGGCGATGCTCTTGTGCAGTCACAGCAACAGCCACCGCAACGCCTCCAACCAAGTAAACCAAGACGCAAATAAAGCCCACGCAGCATGGCTTCCTCGCATTCATCTGTTCAGCCTTCTGTTCACTTGTATATTTTCTTCCTTTGGTTTTCTTTTGGATACTTACCCCCGTCGCCACAGTCCCCCGGTGCTTCCCCTGATTTCAAAGTGTGCCCACTGCCCAGCCCTCACACTTCTCTTCTGTGTGTAAGCACTGGTATGCACTTTTACTACGACACTTTATTCAGTCTATATTAAAATTCAAAAAATGTTATCATATACTGTAATTAAATCTATATGCAGCACTTGTTTTTGCTCCTATTTTTCATTCGCTCAGCTTAAATCTTTTAAAAGACCAATTTATAGCACATTTTGTTTCACAAACCTGTTTACATTTTTTGTTGAGTACTTCTCCTTTTCAGAAAAATCCATCCTGTCCCAGGCCTCGAGTGGCTGATGTTGTTGTGGCCTGAGGAATGTCTGCAGACTGTTTTTCAGTGGTAGTATGCGTTACTGGATATTGGCAATTCAGAGCAGTCCAAACACTCCAATGAGTATGATTACCTTACCAAAACACTACTTTTGATGGGTCTTTAGGATCTCATACCTCTCTTTGTGCATTAAAATGCTACAAAGGCTCAAGGTCATTTCCACTGAACAGGGAAAATCCCTTTATTTGTGTATCTAAGTGTTAGCTTCCGCCCCCTTCTCATATTCTTATAAACAACTTAGTTAGTGGCCTGATGAGGACGACAAAGCCAATTACAATGTCTGTGGCATTGTGTTGTGTGTGTATTTTTATTGTGGTGACTAGCTACTGCATATTGATATACCACACCTTTGAGGTTGGATGGATTTCCTCCAGAAAGGAGAAGAGCTCAGTAAACACAGATTTAGACAGATTTGTAACCAATACTTGATATAGATTGGTCAATTGTGCAAATAGATAGCGAATGGAAGTTGCAATAGCTTTACGCTGACTTCATCAAAAAATGGGAGCAAAATTGAAGAAAAAACATGATATATAATTGAATAATAATAATAATAGATGGAATAGAACCAAAATACATTATAAAAATCCTTCAAGAAGTATAATTTATTCCAGAAGAAAGTTGAGCATTAACCCCTTTCAATAGATAATATCAACCATCAATGATATTTCTATTTTTGAAAATATTATCTTTCTATGCCGATTAACAACACAACGTTCCCCTTTCTTGGGGACTGCTGTGCATGCAGTTGGTTAACGCCCTTCATCTCTGTCTATAAACTAATGCGCACCTCAGTCCATGCTGCACAGCCTCATAGAGACATGCAGGTGGCACCACTGAGCACTACTCACTGTGGCTGCATGAAGTTGGTAACCATGGTGAAGCGACACGTTCCTCTCTGAATGTTGCTCCTCTCACATCTTGGACTGAAATGACATCTCTGTTACCCCTCACCTGTGACCTGCGGCCACACAAACTAATGGATCCAGGCCACAGAGGTCGTTTCTCACTGAAGCCGCAAAGACACAGCGTAGTGGGGGTGCTCACTATTCAGAGAGGCCAATCCGACTGGCTGCCCACCCAGCCCCCTGCGGCTCTCAGGCGTCCACCAGATGGCAGACTTGTGACCCTAAGGAAGGCTTGGTCAGAGGAGAGGCCCCAGAGCAGCGGAGGTGAGCGCAGAGACTGAAGCAGTGAGGAGCACAGATCTGTGCGACTAATACTACTAACGCATACCTGATAAAGAGTGAGGGACATATATATACACTTAAATAGATCATAAACATATTTTAAATCCGTAAGATTCATGCAATTAAAACACAGTTTACCTATACCACTTGAGATTGTGACATATTCCACTCATAGCACTCACATGCACTGTGCAACATCTCACAGTTGCTTTGTGTGGATCAATAGGAGTTGTATTTCGCATGAATCCAGAGTCTCATTTACACGTTTCACCTCATTCATACATTTTACAACAAATAAATCAGGGAGCTCAAGTATATATTATATACTGTATATTGGATATATACAGTATATAAATATACAATGCTGAAACAAACATCAATCAACTAACTATTTTAAATTGTTCAATTGCCTTTCGTTAAATACTTAAAATACTTATTTAAATTAATAAATGTATTCATTTGAAAGTATACCTATGTTATAACAGCTCTTGTAATGTCTTCATGCGTTTCTGCATTGTCTGTCTAAATTAATAACATGGTGTGCTTCTTGCTGCTCTTCACCATTTGTGTATATTATTCACGTATCTTGTGCTGAGTAAAACACTTCTATTTGACTGAATGTGTTAGGATTAATATCACTATTAGATGTAGCCATCCCCAGAAGTAGAAAAGTATTTCATGAATTTTGTCGTGGCCTTTGTGCAGCCCGCTCAGCCTACAGATCTGGGGAAACTCCAGTCACAGCTGCATCTATGGACAGTGGGCTCAGCGGCAGCGTCTACAGCCTGTTGGATGAAGAAGCAGAAGCCAATGAGGTGGACAGTGCCATTTTCCAAGTACCCAGATTGTGAGGAAATCTCCTTACTCCCATGCAAGATTAACACAAAATCTGTATTGTTACATTGATTCTTTACTTTGAACTTAATTCCAGTGGAAAAATCCCAAATGGCACAGATATTGTAAAATCGTCCATGGGCCACCATGATGGTGAAGGTAAATGCCTACATTTTCATTTAAATTCTTACTGCATATTTCTTTCTTCATGGTTTTGAATCATAACATTATAAAAAAAAGACTGACTATATTAAACAATTATACTAAAACTAAAATTGTGTTGTTTTGTATAATGTATTGGTATATGTTTTTATTTTAATCTGTGGCCGCAAATACAGTTGTGTTTTGTTGGGTTCTTTTGACGAGCCAATTTCTATGTTGTTGCCTGGGCAACAGAGGTTTGAACAAACTCTATTATTGCTTTGTGGTCAGTGTTTGATATTACTCATTGTGACAATTTTCTTAGGGTCCTTCAGAGGTCAGCTGTCCCCGTCACACCATGTGCCTGCACTGCAGTGTCTGTATCTAATATTGGTGTATGTTTGCAGGTAAGACTCATGCGATGGGGGAGATTAAGATTGCTCTGAAGAAGGAGGTTAGAACAGAAGGAGATCACCTGGTCTTGGAAATTCTTCAATGTCGCAACATCACCTACAAATTCAAATCTCCGGACCACTTGCCGGGTAAAACATTTGTGATTCATGACTTTACAGACACACTTATATTAGAGTTACAAATATGGTATGAATAAATAATATTCTGAAACATAAAGTGTACACACTCAAGCTAAAGTGTGCCCTGCAGAGGACTTTATCAGGGTGTTTGTTTCGCAGACCTTTACGTGAAGCTGTACGTGGTGAACATTGCTACTCAGAAAAGAATCATCAAGAAGAAGACCAGAGTGTGCCGTCACGACCGAGAGCCTTCTTTCAACGAGACCTTCCGCTTCTGCATGAACCCCACTGGCCACGCCCTGCAGGTGACTATTTTAAGTACCTTGCATTACATGACATGACAGACATTAAGTACATGTGTGTAACTACGTGTTCGTGTATTAACATTACCTAAAAACAGCTGTTCCTGGTGTCTAACGGAGGCAAGTTTGTGAAGAAAACGCTGATCGGAGAGGCTTACGTGTGGTTGGACAAAGTGGATCTACGAAAGCGTGTGGTGAGCTGGCACAAGTTGCACACTAGTACTGCCCAAATCCATTCTTAGGGGAATGGTGAACAAGCCAGCGACTTCACAGGATCTGACCAAGCATCTATCATTGGGCTTTGGACTTTGATGCAATGCAACTATGGACAAAAAAAAATGGTTTGTTTCCAGAAAGGCTTGTAAACAGGAAAAACAGTGTAGCGTAGCCAGTGTCGAAGGTTAATAGCAATCAACCAGGTACGTCACACTTCAGCACATCATCACTGCATTCACACACACTCTTACATTGACTTCAAACACACACACACAACATAATCATAGCACATATATATTTAATTTATATTATGATTAAAGCCACTATCACATCATTGCCAGTGTATTTATTATCTAGACTTTTTGTTGATTTACAAAACACATTTTTCCTTTTTATTCCTATATGATCTTATTTATTTTTGTATAACAATAAGAGCAGAAACTTTATTCGGTCTCTCCTTTGGAAGAATAGTCTATTTTGTAAAACACTGACTTGCGTTCCTTTGAAAGAGAAGACACAAAGTCCTTAAGCTTGTTTTCATCTGTTTGGACTGATTAAATAATAAGTATTATTATTTAATATCATATTTATACTATCTGACATATAAGTGTGGATATTATTCTGTATATTGTGCGCATGAGTATTTGCAGTGCCACATGTTCTGCACAGAAGACCTCAGTGGTTCACTTTGTAAATAGTGAATAATGTTAACTCTGGAAGTTTAAATAATATATTGATACTATATATATATATATATACATAGATAGAGGTATCTTTATCACAGACAATCGAGTGTTGATGATTGTGATTGAGCTTTTATTTACCCACTTGCCCCTCCAGTGAGTTATACAGGCTATGATTATTTATTTATACATTTGACATCACATGTATCTGTCAGGAGATTCAAGCACACCGCGTATAGAATAGACTGCTTTTGTAGTATTTTGCACTTTCTGCTCAGAATGTAAAGCTAGCAAGGTCATTCTGCTTTAAATGACATATCCATAAGGCTCTTTATGTTTGAGATAAGTAAGACGGACCAAAGTTATGAAACATTGGATTGCAAATGCCAGGTTATGTTCTGAAATACATTACTTTGATCACTGGTATAAATATGTTTTTTTTTGTTTTATGTGTATGCACTTTTTAGCTACTTGTTGATTATTTAAGTATTTTAATGCCAGTCAGTTTGCACTTGGAAGTCATGCGTGAAGAAGAGATTTCACACATTACCCTCATGAAATACAAAAACGTAAAACTGGGTGACTTCTATGCAAAATTGACGAGGCAAAATACAGTCTGAGATGAGCTATGTCACTTTATTTTGCACATATTTTATATTTTTTGTTTCCAAGAAATGAGGTTTTTATATTTGGTGAAGTTTGTTTACAATATTTGGAGGGTCTTAAAACTCAGAGAACTAATTCATTTTTATTTTTTGAACAAATACTTGCAAAAACTCAACTTTACAAGTAGAAATGTATGAATATGTATCACGTCATGTGGCTAGTTCCATTGTTCCGTAACATATCCACAAGGTTTGTATAAAATTCACATTGTCCGACCTGTTATTTTTGCACCCACGTGTTGGTACATCGTCATATCAAGTCCATGCATGCCATTGCCGTGTATGTATTTTATGTACATGTTGGTTTGTCTGACAGTTTTATTTTTGCATTTCTCGTGACACTAAAAACTATCACATGTGTTTGTTCAACTGTCATCTCTATTTCCAACCTTGTAAATATATGTTTTGTACTGGGATTTGTGGGGAAATAGTTCATGGCATACAACACTATTGACTTGAATAATGTACAGTAATGAGATACAGAAGTGTGCTGGCATCTTTACGGACTGAGATTTACCAACCCCCTCACATCAAACACCGAAGCATCACCATAGTCTACAAGCAGTTTAACAAGGGGATTTAATGTGCCCACACTGGATGTTGCATGTTATGTTGGTGGTTCATACTATTTTTGTGTCCAGATAATAATAATAAAAAAGTCTAAAGCAGAAAGATGGTAAAACGTGGGAAATAGATATAGAGGCAAATAGTATATGATATTGTATGCTGACTGTACAAAGAAATGCTTGTAAACATGTCCTGGTTTTCCTCTTGTAAAGTATACTGACATAATGTCATGGTTTTGTGATTGTATACAGGAGGTATTGATGAATTATGCAAATTGTGCTGTAAAAATGGCTGTTGCCCCATGTGTCAATATTAAATATAAATACAACATGTTTTGTCGACAGTTGCATTTTGTGTCTTTCGTTCATTAAGTTTGTGCGGTATGTTTTATGTGTGATTCTTACTCTCTACTGTCTCGTCTGCGTCGTGGCTCCACCCCTTTTTCCTTTTTTGGTATTACCTTTGAAGGTACTGGATGTTGTACTAATCATTGATCTAGTTTCCACCATCGAATTATTTGTTTTGCCAGCATTTTGAGTCAATTGAAGCGGCTAAATGTAGTAGTGTGTCCTGTGTCAATTCTTGCCTTTGTCCACTAGATGGCAGAATTTATGCTGCCGCCACGGCTACTCACGCGTCTCGGCTCATGCGCCACTACAGCTCTTGTCAACCTCAGTAAAGATTAATTCCTCTACTGTCCTGAGGAAGGTCCACTTTTTGCTTGGATTCATCTGAACGTTGTTGGTTTTTCCTGGATAGTTATACGATTTGTCATTGATTAAACTTACCTTTTACATCGGAAGCATGTGACATCACTCAGTTGAGTTACAAACTACAGTGAGCAACATGTTAAGAATAGCAATAACATATCTATGGCAAGAAGCAGGTATTGGACCACTTCGCAAAAAGTAGGTCACCGCAGGACAGTTGTGGAATAACACCAATTGCAACGCCACCCTATTGTTTTTGTAAGGTATAGGGAAACCCAATTTCTCCCGCACATAAAAGGACACAGGTTCGGAGGACATTGAGGACAGAGACAATAAGTTATCGAACACATAATTTATTATAAGTTAAATTTGTTAAGTTTAATTTAAAATAAGTTTCTACATCAGACATGGCGTTATCCCAGGCACATTCTTGATTCGTACACATCGTTGGTCCACACAAACGTTCACACAGGCAGGAACATGAGGGGGAGAAGAAGAGGCTCGTGCTGATCATTCATCCTGTAAGGGTTACCCTAACCCTAACCCTAACTCTACGCATCTCATCACAACAAATGGAAAGACCCCCAGGGCCGGCCTCCCGGACGCTCACCAAACGTATATGAAAGCATGTTTGCACCAGTACTGATCAATGCGCCCAACCTACACGCGAGCGCACAATCCAGTGGATCCAGCAGTTTGGAGACACGAGTACCCGCGGCACAGCGCGCTGCCATGCTTGTTGACGTCAGAGGTGAGTGAGGGTGGGTCCGACAACCTCAGCCCTTTTTATACGTTGCTCACCTCTGCTAATTAAATAAAAAAAACAGGTGGACAGTAGACCACACTGCTACACTTGAATACTTGAGTATACTTTGTATTCAAGTTTACGCAGCATGGAGGAACCTGTGGAAATCATATCCTATCATACCACCACAGTTTGCTCTGGTTTATCATAGTAAAAATGCTGTTGTCATTGAATTGTGTTTTATACACGTAATTTAAATCGGTCTTCAAGTTGCAATATGTAAGATTGGCATGTCAAGTCATCATTAAATGGCCCTAATATGTCAAAAGAGGCATTAATAAACCATGATCTTTTGGAATACTTCTTTAACTAATAGCTGTAGTTCAGCCGAGATATTCGGCTTTCAAAATGAGTTTACAGCCCCTAAATCTTGTTATTGTTTTCATTTCGATGTCCCGCCCTCCACGTTTTACCAATCAGAAAGTCCGTGATAGGGGTTGCCAGAACCCACCGTGTGGAGCAAATGTCACTGGTAAAGTAAGGTCTCGATATGATTCTTAATCATTAATAACAAAACAAGGAATAAAACGAAAATTTCTATCTGGGTCTTGAAAAAGGTGTTGGTTATAGATTTCACAAAACACTACTATTTTCCCAGCTGGACTCGTCTGCATATCTGACAACCTGAGTCTGGGTCAGCACTAGATCATACAGAATCGGGACGGAAGCGGAAGTAAATACAACAAACTACCTATTTATGCCTAAACTTAACCAGCCATTCCCATAAAATAACCCCAACCCACCCTTAACCATCTTACTCAGACGCCTAAAACTTAACCAGTCACCACTTAAGGACTTATTAGTCTAAAACTAATTCGAGAGTAGGATTGTTACTTCCGGTTTCGTCCCGATTCCGTATATGATCTAGTGCCGACCCCTGAGTCAGGGTGAGTGGGAGAGGTTGCAGTACCAATTTTGGCCAGACTTGTACATACTGCTGCTTTAACCCTTTAAGCGCAAGCCCCGGTGATCCAAGATGGCGCACAATTCAAATGAATGGCTTGTGCTCAGTAGCGCATGGGACTTCACAGGGACCGGGAGATTAGCAGAACTCACCTATATTCGGGCATCGTCTGGTCCTCCCGGTTCTGTGCAGTGGACGAGCTCCCATGATGCATCACGCCAAATACGCGTGTGTGGCTCTCATGCACGCGCACAGAGGGGCTTGGTCGCGCTCTGACCAATCAGAGCTGCTGATTAGAGCAGCAGCAGAGAGGAGTCAGAGCGGGAAGGAAAGGAGCAGAGTTTGTGGCAGTAAAGTTTGGATTTCAAGAAAACCGAAGGATTTAAGAAGAAAAAAGGTTCAGGATGACAAGGGACACTAAAATCCCCACAAACTCCGATATTTTTGAAAGCTGTAGGTTCTCTGTCAGCTGAGGTCGAGCTGTTTTAATTTACATCGAGTTCTATGGGACTTTTTTCTGGGCAGCCCACGTGATTTTAGTTTGCAGTACCACGGGCGCCCCCTGTGCCCATGGGTTGGACAGCAAGCTAGTAATACCCTATCCAGTTATTATTATAGATCCATGTTTAAGCGCTAGCATTTTTCAGAAATGTTATGTGAAACAAACAAAGTTTGGAGTTCTGAAACTGATAAGAAAGAGAAACTAATGGGAAAGAGAGGACTTTTGAACTCAACAACAGAAATAAATCAAATGAAAATATTTGAGAAAAGTGTAGTAAAATGTTTGTGTGAAGCCAGGTTGCTGCATAAAGAGTCCTGGATTCTGGAGTTATTGTTGCCATTCAGCTTCTTTGGCTCCCAAAGAGTTAACGGCCCCAGTGCACTGTCATCTCATTCTGCTTGTGCACCTGCTCAGAGAATGTGTGCATTCTCAATTCAATCTTATTATGTAATGTTACAATTCTAAAAGCAAGATGGGATGAAAATTATCATCGACAACCACATGGAGCTAGTAATAATAATAATAATGATAATAAATCTTCCTTTGTATAGCACTTTTCAAAAACAGTGTTTACAAAGCACTGCACAGTCAGCATAAAGAATAAAAACAGTCAAAAACAGTCATCATAACACAAAGTCAAATAATTAACAGTAGATACAGGAAAACAAAGCAGACAGAGGGAACACAAGAAGAAAGACTAAACAAAGACAAAGTGGAACATGAAATACAACGTGAAGTTTAAAAACTATCAGTTAAAAGCTGATGGATAAAAGTGTTTGTCACTGGTTTTCCGTATTATCAGCTAAGTCATAATTAGCAAAGACCATCTCTTATTGACTGTTTTTGGTTGTTCATCACAATCGATGATCATAACATTTCATTGCAGTTTCTTATAGGCTCTTTTTCAGACTGGGCACCTGTTTCAGTCTTTGTAAGTAGTGTAGCTGTCACTGTATTTTTAGAATTGATGATATGTGGTTAGGGCGTCACTAAGGAACTTGAGCTGGGCACTTGTCTATGGTATCAGAGGTGTGTAAACTTGTAGTCTCTCACAATTCTATCTTTTAGCCTAATGAACAATGTTGATGAAGTTTAATGTTTAATGAATTAGCAAGAGCGACATCAGTACAATGCAATGTACAGCAATGTCCCTTTTTTCTTTTTTGGATTTTACAAGATGTAGGAGCACTGATTACAAAAATAATCTTTTTTTTAACCCTTATTTTTTTTATACTATTATAGGCCTTGAGATGTTTGAGATGCAGTTTGATGGTAAAAGTGCCAAAAACCAAGTGAGATCCCCAAATAAGTATATTTCAGTTATAAGCCTGTTTAAAGTAGATACAGTATATTGACTCAAAAGGTGAGCAACCAAATGAATGAGGAAGCCATTAAAGGTTTCATTGTTTTCATTGTCCTATACAAGCCACCGCAGTCATGTCACAATTTTATTGATAATTCAGATTCAGATTCATTTATTTGCCATTTGCAGTAAAACCACATAGGAAAAACTATGCAAGACTACCCCAGTGTGCACCAGACGACACACACCAGAGCTCTTGCCACGGCGCCATCTTTACGGCATCTAAACAATCCATCCATCCAATTTCTACCCCTTAATCCATTTCTGGGTTTGGGGGGGTGGCCAGAGATGCCACCCAGTACACTTAGCACCAGCCCCTTACTAAACAATCCAATAGATTTATAGAAGAAAAAACAACGGAAGGTTGATCACCCATCGTCTGTACTTCAGTTACTACGTTTCGTTCACCATCCAAAGAACCAAAGAACTTTAACAAGGAAAAGAAAGCTCAGCCGCGAGTTGGAGATTAAAAACCTGCTAACTGAAGCACATATGATGGGTGAGCAACCTTCCTTTGTTTTGAATAATATATGTATGTATGTGTACAGCATGTATGTAAGAGAGACACCAGCAACTAAGCTAAGCTAAAGAAATGTAGGAACAGGGGGTGGAAGTACATACTTTTTCTTCTTTTTTATATGTAAGGGCGGAAGTAGACCCCTCCGCGCACTGTCGGTACTTATTTTCCGATAATGACCTGTGTACGATACATTATCCCTTACGTATGACTCATAATAACGTTTACATGTATTGAAACATATCTGTAAAGCATCTTTTCCCCCAAAAGTGAATTAAACTTGGTCCAGTTAAAGTTGAGCCAGTGCAACAAGTGTAATTGCATGCTTTGGGTTAGCTCATAAAATATCAGGAAACAAGATTTTTAACATGGAATAACTAACAGGACAGCAATGAAGGCTTCACGTCCAATAATTCCCCCCCCCGAGTCCGTCTTTCTGTCATTGAATGGTCGTTTCACCCCATGGCTTTGCTTCACTCGCCTTCAGCTTCTCTTTGTGACACAAGGGTTTGGGTAGTAGTAATGTGATGAGTCAGTGCACAGAGGGGACTGAGGCTGCCCCTGTCCTGATCGAGACATCAAATCACACACACTCGCCATCACTCCCACAGAGTCGGCACGGGTCCATCTACCCCTGTCTGAGTGCGTTGTGCAGAAATGTGTGTAGGCGCCAAATTTTTGCCGACAGTCACTTTTGAATGTGAAAAACATGTTCAAACCAGATTCAATTCAAGCATTGGAAAGAGAGTGACTGAGCCTACACCAGTCTTTCTGGGGGGAAATGTGTTTTTTAAGATTAAGATTATTCACTCTATAACTCACAGAGCAGTGAATTTGACGGCTTTCAGTTTTAGAAGTGTAATTACTCATCCCATGTGCATTCTT